GGGACCCGGTGATTGACATTTTTGGGAGCCAATGACGCGCGTGTCCCCTATCCGGAAATGCAAAATCAAATATATATACGTCATTTTGCACGGTGCAGGCGCCCTGTAGCAGTACATCTGCTATGGAGCAGTCTTAAAGTGGTTATATAGAGCCATCAATTTACGCAGCACTTTACACACTATATATTGTACATTCACATCAGTCCCTGCCCTCAAAGAACTTACAATCTAAAGTCCCTAACCCACATCTATACAAATACTAGGGCCAATTTAGACAGGAGCCAATTAACCTACCAGCATGTCTGTGGAATGTAGGAGGAAACTGGAGTACCTGGAGGAAACCCATGTAGGCATGAGGAGAACATGCAAACTCCAGGCATGTGGTGCCGTGGTTGGGATTCACATCAGTCCCTGCCCTAAAAGAACTTACAATCTAAGGTCCCTAACTCACATCTATACATATACTAGGGCCAATTTAGACAGGAGCCAATTAACCTAGCAGCATGTCTGTGGAGTGTAGGAGGAAACTGGAGTACCTAGAGGAAACCCACGTAGGCACGAGGAGAACATGCAAACTCCAGGCAGGTGGTGCCGTGGTTGGGATTTGAACCAACGACCCTGGTGCTTCTAGGAAGTTAAGATCGGTAATGGCTGTTTTGCCTTAAAGAGGAACCTCAGTCCCCGTAATGCTTGCCCCACGACTGTTGAATACCTGGCACATGCCCAGTCTTGTCCAGTCATTTGAACCTGACAGAGACCTGCAGCACATGTGCACAGACGGTGAATTTCCCCGCACATGCATAGACAACCTGAGACCTTCATAACTGTGGCGTCTGTACATCCGTGGCAAACCCCCCACCTGTGTCACAGATCTCTGCCGGGTCCCGAAGGCGGGGCAGAGCCCTTTGACACATCTGCACATGGGTGAAATCTGGAAGCGCCAATATGCTGTGAGGTATCAGGAGCAGAATGTCATTTTTGCCCGGGTGAGAAAGGAAGAACTTAGAAACACTTAGGGCCAGTTCCCACTATAGAAACGCAGTCCAGATGCATTCCGGATGCGTTTCGCATGCGCAGTTTTGACGCATTTTGGCATTTTTTATACAGTTTTGGCGCGTTCTGGTGCATTTTTGATACGTTCCAGTACTTTTTTTATGCATTCCAGTTCATTTTCCCTCCTCTCTTTTTGTTCAATTTAAATAGGGACATGTGCGATTTGGTGCATTTTTAGTGCGTTTTGGTGTGTTCCAGTGCATTTTTGATGCATTTTACCGTGTTCCAGGACAGTTCTGTGCAGGAAAAATGCAGCTTGTTCTACTTGTAATGGCTAGAGTCCGGCCCCCCCAAAAGTCTGAAGGACAGTAAACTGGCCCTTTGTTTAGAAAGTTTGGAGAGCCCTGCTTTAAGCTAAAAAAAAAATGCTCCGGGTTTAATACTACTTGAAGAGAATTATTATTATTATACAGTATTTATAAAGCGCCAACAGTTCGCTCAGCGCTGTACAATACAATGGGAGACAATACATGCGACAGTACAATAACAATACAATGCGATACATGAGGGGTTCGAGGGCACTGCTCCTTGGAGCTTACAATCTAGGAGGGAGGGGATAGTGGTACAGGAGAAAATAGCTGTGGGGGATGGAGTGGTAGGAAGTGTGGAGGAGATCAGCAAATAGCAGAGGGCGGGGTAGGCTTCCCTGTAGATGTGGGTTTTCAGGGTGCGCCTAAAGCAGAGGAGAGTAGGTGATAGTCTGATGGATTGGGGTAGGGAGTTCCAGAGGATGGGTGACACCCTGGAGAAGTCCTGGAGGCGGGCACGGGAAGAGGAGACCAGGGAACTAGAGAGAAGGAGGTCTTGTGAGGAGCGGAGAGTGCGTTTTGGGTGGTATTTGGATATTAGGTTGATGATGTGTCAACATGTACATTCTGTCAGACTGACATTAGTAAAATCACACAAAAACCATCAAACATATGACGAAGACAGAAGATGTAATCACAGCAACATATTTCATTTTTTTAAATCTCAAAAAGAAATCATTAAAAGCATTCATGTACCTTGGTGTGTTTATACTTTTGTACGATTCAATAAATGCAACTGTTAAAGAAAAGTACACTAGGAGAGTCAAGCACATAGAAAAATCATGAATCGACCACAATTCTAATAATTCAAAGCAGAATGGAAACTCATAATAGTGAGGATACAATAAGTCTAAATTTAGCACAATGTTCTTCCACCACAAGACCAGAAGGAGAACAAAAGGTACAAGAAGAATGTTCAATTCCGATGACAGAACTCTGAAAGGAAGCCTTTGTAGACAGAAAAAAAGAGGAGGTCTTGCCAGATCCCTGTCTGAAAATGCTAGCTGCCTGGTAGTCATGCTGATCCTTTGACTTCAGTAAATTCTGAGCAGCCAGTGAAATCGGAGCTATTTATTATCATACTTGCTCCAGATTTGTTGGCTAATGCAGGTGTAAAGTCAATAGATCAGCATTTCACTGCCTAGCAGTTATAGAAGGAGATTTTAGCAATGGTAGCCGTCGTATTTCTTCCCGTTAAGAAAAATGTAAACTTCTGAAACAGTATATTGATCCAAGTGAAGGGATGGACGCTGCTCAGTATATTTATCCAGTCCTCTTTCACCTAAAGAAATAATTAAATGAGGAAGGTTCATAGGCATGCAGGCTGTATTTTAATAAATAATATAAAAAATATATATATCCTCCTGTGCTCTTATGATAAATGATGCACTTAACTAAAAAGCAGCCAGCATCTATCCCATACCAAAAAAAGGACAATAAAAGAAATGCATATAAAAATGATGCAGCGCTAAAATAAAAAATATACTCAATAAATATACATAAAATAGTAAAGATACGTATAAATTAACAAAATAACAAATGACCCCAATCTACATGGGGATATGAAGGAGACCGTGACCCCTCACAGATAAATAACAGTGGCTTAGTGCAAAATAAAGTGTCCACAGTTCATATTTCTAAGACGTGCAGGTGAATCACAGCACACTCCAAACATGATCCCAGGTAGTATGGCTGCAATGGCCTCTCACCTCCACTATCTGACCCCAGAGGGCCACAAAGCAAATGTAGATCACCTCTGGATCCCTCAAACCAGTAGCTCCTCAGATGGGATGGTATGGGCAGTCATCACATGAACATGGACAGTAGCCAGCCGGACCAATGGGCAAACGAAATACACCCTCCTCAGATGTCAAAAGCTCATATGCTCATAAATGAGGAAAGAAACACAATCCTCATAGTGTATTACTGCTTTTAATGGCAAAGAGGCGACAATAAGCCAAAAAAATACAATTTTAATACCATTTTACAGGTAAACTTGTCACCAAAGTGTATAAACTTCTAGTAAAGTGCAAACTCCTTGTGCCCTTCACAAGCTCAAAGGAACTGAGCCTCAGACACGCTAAAGCCGGCCAAAGATGGATTGACTCTCGGCTGGTTCAGAAGGGACTTGTCAAGATTCGATCCATCTATGGGCAGGATGGTTGTAACCAAGTTGACCCATCAATTGACTTGGGTACAACCAGCCTGGCAAATTTTTAGGATTCAATTATTGCCAGTGGCTATTGTGTTGTTCCGGCAGGCACGGCTCACTCGCTCAGCACCACCGTCATTCATAGAATGCTTTTTCAGTGAAGACAAGCCATTCTCTGATTGGACGAGGTGGTGATGTTACTGCCCTTCCTCTCCACCTAGCTAAGGGCATCACTAGTGCCTTGAACTTGGGACACGTGCTACAACTTTTGTGGGGTGCCCAGCATTTTTGTTTTCATTTGAACTACGTACACACCTGACCCCTGCACTCTTTGAGATACATACTCCTGACCCCTGCACTCTCTGCATTCTGTATTTCTGATCTCTGCACATTGCTCACTATGCAGTTTTGACCCCAGTACTGGCCCTTGAACTCTGTGTGATACACACTTTTGACCCCTAAAAATATAAAATATTAATGCAGTGCTTATACTCAAACAAATAATTTCCAAAATATATAAATGTGTTTATATATTTTGGAAATTATTTGAGTATAAGCGCCACATTAATATTTTATATATTTTTTATAGAATATTATTATATTATTTTCTGTATTAACTCAATGTGGCAGCATGTTATGAGATATGTGTACACTTTTTTTATTTTTTTATTTACACTTACACATTCACAGAGCAATTTGTGTTTGAGGGTTTTATACCTTAAAATATTTTTTGGATAGTACAGGAGATGACCAGAGACTGCGGACACGGTACAGGAGATGACCGGAGACTGCGGACACGGTACAGGAGATGACCGGAGACTGCGGACACGGTACAGGAGATGACCGGAGACTGCGGACACGGTACAGGAGATGACCGGAGACTGCGGACACGGTACAGGAGATGACCGGAGACTGCGGACACGGTACAGGAGATGACCGGAGACTGCGGACACAGTACAGGGGATGACCAGAGACTGCGGACACAGTACAGGAGATGGCCAGAGACTGCGGACACAGCACAGGAGATGACCAGAGACTGCGGACACAGCACAGGAGATGACCAGAGACTGCGGACACAGCACAGGGGATGACCAGAGACTGCGGACACAGCACAGGGGATGACCAGAGACTGCGGACACAGTACAGGGGATGACCAGAGACTGCGGACACAGTACAGGGGATGCCCAGAGACTGCGGGCACAGTACAGGAGATGACCAGAGACTGCGGACACATTAATATTTTATATATTTTTAATAGAATATTATTATATTATTTTCTGTATTAACTCAATGTGGCAGCATGTTATGAGATATGTGTACACTTTTTTTATTTTTTTATTTACACTTACACATTCACAGCGCAATTTGTGTTTGAGGGTTTTATACCTTAAAATATTTTTTGGATAGTACAGGAGATGACCAGAGACTGCGGACACAGTACAGGAGATGACCGGAGACTGCAGACACAGCACAGGAGATGACCAGAGACTGCGGACACAGTACAGGAGATGACCAGAGACTGCGGAGACAGTACAGGGGATGACCAGAGACTGCGGACACAGCACAGGGGATGACCAGAGACTGCGGACACAGCACAGGAGATGACCAGAGACTGCGGACACAGTACAGGAGATGGCCAGAGACTGCGGACACAGTACAGGAGATGACCAGAGACTGCGGACACAGTACAGGAGATGACCAGAGACTGCGGACACAGTACAGGAGATGAACAGAGACTGCGGACATAGTACAGGAGATGACCAGAGACTGCAGATCTTTCAAATTCAGGTACCGGCTCCCACTTCCGCTGAGTTGTCCTCCCTGTAGGCTTGTGGGACATGTGACAGGTCCCAGAAGACTACAGGTGGCCATTCACAAAGCACAGCGCTTCTCGCGCATGTGCAGTGGGCACTCAGCTGTGAAACCACAAGCTGTCACAGCCGGGTGCCCACACTGAAGATGCCGGTGCCAGGGAGGGAAAACGGCTGTTGAAAGCAGAACACCGCTGGACTGAGGAACAGGTAGGACCGAGGAGCAGGTTCTTCTGCATAGCAGAGCCGAGCGGCCGGCCCAGTATTCTAACATGGCAGCTGCGGGAATACCGGTCTGGCCGCTCCATATTCGCTCCATAAGACGCACAGACATTTACCCCCATTTTTGGGGGGGGGGAAAGTGTGTTTTATGGAGCAAAATATACGGTAAGCAGAGTGCCATTCATTCCAAAGACAAAAGAAAGAGCCAATAAGAGGAGAGTCTGGACATGTGACCTGTCAACGTAATGTAACCGGCCTCTAATCCAATGGACAAGTTCTCTCTGCAGTATTATACAGAGGGGACAACATGGGGCACTGCAGGTTTCATGCTGTGATTTCTTCTGAATGAGTTGTAAAATGAAGTCACATTGTGGAGTCCACACTGCAATGTCCAGTGGAGAGGTACTGTATCTACTCTGCACCAGGGGCTGACTGACCATTTGGAAACTCGGGCACCGCCCGAGGGCCCGGGGTCTGTAGGGGCCCCATGAGATGCCCCTGGTACCTTTTTCATAGGCTTTTTTGAGTTTGGGCAAGGACACAGGGGCCCCAGGATCCCCTATTGCCCGGGGGCCCCATGAGTGGTCAGTCCGCCCCTGCTCTGCACTATAAATAGGCCGTTAGGATAACTCCATTTCATGCAGGCACCCTCCGTACAACCATGCCCGATACAAAGTACTTTGGGAATAATGCAATTCAGACACTGGGGTGTGAAACGCAGAATTCAAAGGTTTTTATATTTTTGTACTTGAGTTTAAATACAGAGATAACACTGAATATTTTTGGCGGTATTCATAAAGCACCAATCAGAATACATTATTATTATTATACAGTATTTATAAAGCTCCAATAGTTCGCTCAGCGCTGTACATTACAAAGGGGGACAGAACATGTGACAGAACAATACCAATACAATGCAAAACATGAGGGGATTGAGGGCCCTGCTCTTTTGAGCTTACAATCTAGGAGGGAGGGGATGGTGGCACAGGAGGAGATAGCTGTGGGGGATGGAGTGGTAGGAAGAGTGGAGGAGGTCGGTCAAGTTAGCAGGGGGTAGGGTAGGCTTCCCTGAAGAGATGGGTTTTCAGGGTGCGCCTAAAGGAGAGGAGAGTAGGTGATAATCTGATGGGTTGGGGCAGGGAGTTCCAGAGGATGGGTGACACCCTGGAGAAGTCCTGGAGGCGGGCATGGGAGGAGGAGACCAGGGAACTAGAGAGAAGGAGGTCTTGTGAGGAGCGGAGTGTGCGTGCTGGGTGGTACTTGGATATTACGTCAGTGATGTAGTTCGGGGCAGTATGGTGGACGGCTTTGTACGTCAGTGTCAGGATTTTGAATTTTATCCGTTGCGCAATCGGAAGCCAGTGGAGGGATTGGCAGAGGGGGGTGGAGGAGATGGAGCGGTTGGAAAGGTGAATGAGTCTGGCAGCCGTATTCAGGATCAACTGAAGCGGGGATAGCCAGCGGCGAGGCAGGCCAGTGAGGAGGGAGTTGCAGTAGTCGAGTCGTGATACGATGAGGGAGTGGATGAGCTGTTTAGTGGTTTCTGGGGTTAGGAACGCGCGTATTTTGGTGATGTTGCGGAGGTGGAGTCTGCACAAGTTTGTTAAAGATTGGACTTGGGGCTGGAAGGATAGGTTGGAGTCCAGAATGACACCAAGTACTCTGGCCTGCAGGGCGGGTTTGATATTGGCGTTGTTGGATGTGATGGAGAAGTCAATGGGGGGTGGGGTCCGGGCTGGGGGGAAGACAAGAAACTCGGTTTAGATGTTACAATAACTCATCATATGGTACGTAATAGAAATATAGCAAACAAAATAATAAGTTCTGCAAAACCTTCAAGGCTGGAGATACTCATAGATAACAACATTCCACTCCCCAGAGAACATACTGTTTATGAAAATAAAAGTTGGCTAGTAAGCACAAAGCAAAGGATAGTTAACTATTAACCCTTTCAGGCCTCTCAGTGGGTTTGGATTTTAATGATACAACTGGCAGATGGAGGATGTCTGATCTGAGGTTACCTACAAATAGTCATTCAGAGCTAGTATTTGGGTAAGTTTTTCATAAAGTGGTATAAGTGAGTCAGTGAGGCTGGATGAGGCCTTGTATGGTTTTGTAAATGCCTTCTGAATATAACACTCTTCCACCTTTATAAACTAGAATTAAAGTGAAAGGAAAGCCTAAAAAAAGGTTTCTTCCTTCTTCTACTACCTATCCTGCCTATCCTGTATTTAAGCAAAATCTGTATACTTACGCAGAGCTTGAAAAAGCCGCTCGCCAAATGCGAGGGGAAATCCTTGTGTGGCGAGCACAGATGGAGCGGCTCCACCTGTGCTCCAAGCCTCATTGTGAAGCCAAGTTCCGGTTTCCAACTACCGGCTTCTTCTTCGGCACCAGCCATTACACTGGCAGCGCCGCTGAGGGGACAGGTCCAGGAGAGGTGCGCTCTCCTTCGCTGAGAGGAGACACCCGCTCTCCACTGCCGCGTGGGACTTGAGGAGAGGTCCGCTCTCCCCCGCCTTGGGGGACACGAGGCCCGTTCTCCACCACCTTGGGGAACACGAGGCCCGCTCTCCACCGCCTTGGGGGATACGAGGCCCGCTCTCCACCGCCTTGGGGGACACGAGGTCCGCTCTCCACCGCTTTGGGAAACACGAGGCCCGCTCTACACCGCCTTGGGGGACACGAGGAGAGGCCTGCTCTACACTGCCTTGGGGGACATGAGGAGAGAGGCCCACTCTACACTGGCGTGGGGGACACATGAAGGAGAGACCCGCCAACAGTGCACATTACTACACCCGCCAGCTTAAGGTAAATGACATTAACTAAACTTATATCTTTTAAAAGAGACTAGTTACTAAAGTCTCTTTTTAAAGATGCAGGCGATAACAAAAATACAAAATGTTTACTACAGGTTTAAAGCTGTAAAACTTGATATTTTGATTGCACCCTATTGCTATTAAGCTATTGCTGTTATGTTTAAATTGACATAATAAAGCTATGTTATAATTGCAGTTTTTTATATTTTGGACTCTTTATTCTAAAGAAAAATGTAATTTCATAAGCTTTAAGGGGGTGTGGTAGGGGGAAGGGCTGGGGGGCAGGGTTGGAGGATGGGCCAGGGGTGGGGTTGGAGGCAGACCTGGGCAAGGTTGGGTGGGGCAACTGGTGGAGAGTAAGGTTTGTGCCTGGCTAGTAGGCCTAGCCTTGAAATTTTAAGCCCTGTACTTTTACCTATTTTTAATCTGGTCTGGTGATGTGATCCTGCAGCTCCAGCTCCCCATGCCAGTGAGCAGCTGCTGCAGAGCAGAGCTAGAAGTGCTAACAACAGCTGGGCTGTGATAGCCTATGGGAGACCTCATGACACCTGGTATTCAGAGCCACTGTCGAGCACTCCCTTACATAGAGCTGCAGGATCACATGATCGGATGAAAATAGATAAATATATTGAACTTTTTTATACAGGTTGGACAGGATAGGAAGCAGTAGTAAACCGCAGGGAAGGGGAAAAAAAGACCCCTGCAAGGAAATGTCATAATGTGCTAGCATACATTGCATATTAGCACATTATGTAAAATTTACCTTAAAACAAAGCCCTCCAGCATTGCGCTGTCAATGCTGAAGAGGCTTCCTTCTTCATCTGGTCTTCCTTCCGGGTTTGCAAGCTCCGGCCGTCTGACTGGCCGTGCCCTCGATGACGTCATTCCTCGATGAGTCCCAGGCCACGGCACACAGCTCTGAAGGCCACGGCGCACCGCTCTGAAGGCCACGGCGCACCGCTCTGAAGGCCGCAGCACACAGCTCTGAAGGCTGCAGCACACAGCTCTTCAGAGCACATGCACGGGCTTTAGAAAATAGAGAATATCTCCTAAACGGCGCACATTTAGGAGATATTCATTATACCTACAGGTAAGCTTCATTAAAAGCTTACCTGTAGGTAAAATTGAAAAAGAACGAGAGTTTACTACCACTTTAAAGCTAGGCTTTTCTTGTATCACACATTGATGAGCATTTTAATGCACCTTAAAGTAGTTCTAAAGGCAAAATTTAAATAAAAAAGATGTTATACTTACATGCTCTGTGCAATGGTATTGCACAGAACGGCCCATTACTTTCTCTTCTCTGGCCTTCCACCAGCACTTTCTGCTCCTCTTCTTCTCCCAGTGAACTTCAGCAAGCGTGTGCAGAGGAGGCACAGGTGTAGGTGGGCTTCTGAGCCTGGCTGTGTGCATCCATAGACATACACAGCATAGCTCAGCCATGTGCCCTGCTCCTTTCTCACAGGTGTAGAACTCAATGTCTCCCACTGCTCTCTGTGTTTCCTATGAGAAGTGGAAAAGAGAGCACTGCTGCAGATGGGACAGCTCCGGATCGATGGAGGAGTCAGGGAAGCCTTTAGGGAAGAGAGGAAGGAGCAAGAAGTGGGAGATTTTTTACCTAAATGCAGGGAATGCATTAAGGTAAAATATTGTATGTTTTGACTTTAGAACCACTTTAATGCACAGTACACCACAATGTATGTGTTGTCTTACAAAGTGCTGATAAAAAGTCAGGTTCCTTTTCATGGTTCACAAAGGGGCGGACTGACCATTTGGAAACTCGGGCACTGCCGAAGGCCCGGGGTCAGCAGGGGGCCCCATGAGATGCCCCTGGTACCTTTTTCATAGGCTTTTTTGAGTTTGGGCAAGGACACAGGGGCCCCATGATCGCCTATTGCCCAGGGGCCCCATGAGTTGTCAGTCCACTCCACACCAATACAGTGATCAGTGCTATTAAAAAGCACTGACACTGTACTAATGGCACTGGGCAGGAAGGAGTTAACATGTGGAGCGATCAAAGGGTTAATTGTGTTCTGTGTGTTTCACTAATTGGGCTGTATGTGCTTTACTCTGAGCACACTGATTTGTATGGCTCTGCTATGCAGACCATACAAAGCAGTGTGCAGGAGCTGACAGGGGAGAGAGCTGTGTTGTTTATACACAGGTTTCTCCCCTGTCGGAAATACTCGGCAATC